TTAATTTAGTCTAGATTAACTGTTAAAAATATCTTATAAAATGATTTCAGACTTATACTGTAATTTCTTACAGTTGAATGGTCTTTAGCAGTTACTATAAATTTGTATGATGTATAAGTTTTGATTTATTTACTCATTTAAAATAAAAAATACAACATGTCGGTTTCTTCTTCTTCAGTCAGCAGGTGTTTAGCATTACTCAAATCTTCATACGGCATTTTCTACCATGAAGAGTCTCTAATACAATTAATGACCATGTCCGGTCAGTAAATTTTTTGCATTCTTGTTAATTGTGCATCATTGTCCTCCAATAAAGTACCATTATTTGCCATTATTATTATGTTGATTACGATTAATGAAACCACGTAAAATTTTAAATAGTTATTGAAATCTATACTGTCCAAAAACCTACTTGTATCGAACATTATACTATATACATTTTTCACATCTTCTTTATTTTAACTGGAATAATAAAATTAATAAACTATAATTTTAGACCATTGTCTATTATGAATGTTTTTAATATGATCGAAGATCATTATATACAAATTTGCAGATATAATGATGTCAGACTATATTATACACTTTTGCATGTATAAAAATCTCATATAGAAATATACTATTTACTATTTCCATAGCATGTATACTACGATATAAGCTATATAATAGATCCATGGTTTCAGGTTAACACCAATTGTAATATCAAAGTTTTTTATACGTCCTATTGTAGACACATCCAATAAGTAGTTTCCATGAGTTCTTTCTCCGATGTTATACAGTAATGGTTGCAAATATGCATTCCTAATTATTTGTCTTTTTTGTTGGGCAAGTGAAATTAATGGCGACTCAAGAATGGATTTTATGCACACATATTTGATACTACGGATAATTCTAGCCGTAGTAAGCAAAAAACTTATAAAAGAATAAATCCACATGTTTTCCAAATTTTTGTTGCAGCTTGAAAAACGTTTGTCTTTTTAACATATAAAATACTATGTTCAGGCACGAAATAATTTTAAAAAAAAAAAGATAAACAGATGCTTGTCATTTTCCCCTTTATTGTCTTTATTTGAAAGAATATCAACAAATAATAAAACACATTTCACGTGCAACGAGTATACGCCATTGTTATTGATGGATTTCTTTTTCGTCTGGCTTAAAATGGACAAGTAACTGGCTACCGATTATATTCATGTAATAATTTGATCATCACTGAGTGATGTAGTCTGAGACCATTTATCAACAATCTTCTTAAAAATAGGTCAGACGTCTAATACCTTAGTGACAGACTATCTATTAGTAACTTTTTTAACTAATATTAAGATAATATTATTAAAAAAATCTTTTTCAAATGACTCACTTTCTTCCATTAGATCAATACTTAAGATTACATGACGAATTTTTCGAAAAAGTCAATTTTACCATTTTTTTAAGAGCTTTTGCAAATCTACCCAAAAAGAATTTTAAAAGCAATTTGTATAAGTATATAATATCATATACCATATAATATATAATATATTATAAAAATGATAAAATTAATTATTTCGAAAAATCCTATACTTTATCTAGAATATCGATTTCAAGGAATAAAGAGTCTTTAAATATAATTTTCGTTCTCTCTAACGTTCAGAAGAGCATGACAAGTCCTTTTTTTAAAAATTAGTTTAAAGGATTTTATATTGCATCTAAATAAAATTTTGCAATTTAACAAGAAGAAAATGGAAGCATTTACCGAGAACTTCAAAATTAAAAATACTTCATTCGTGATCAGATTAGTGATCCTAACATTATTTGGACGGTTCTTACGTCACAGAAAAGAAAACTTGTAATTTTCACTGTTTAACATTAGCTGGTTTTCTATAACAGTTTTATAATTTTTAAAATTTTGGAAGTAACACACTTTACTTCCAAATACCATGAAATATAAATTTCTCTGCATGTGAAACATGACACATCTACCGAACACAGCTTAAGATGTTACTTTTATAAGGTTAAGTTTCAAACCGACATAAATTAATTTTTAAATCTGTATGCAACGCTGGTAGAAAACTATATAAAACAGTTTTGTCGTATAAAATTATATATTAAAATGAATAAATATTTTACTGTACGCACCAAAGAAAAATCAAATAAAATAGTCCATGGCTCATATAATCAGCCGGGTCGAATTTTTTCCACTTACAAATATCGTGTCGTAATCTGATCTATAATATAATCTTTACTTTGTAGATTACAACAAGACAGTCGAAAATCAGTTGTATTCAATTATATTGCACACCTCTGATACTAGAATTTATATGTCTGATAGATTGGTATAAAAATTAGATCATCCTGCAACTTTCTCTCTTACGAGAATCTTGTCACAGTAATTCAATCTATACTCTATTTATTGCTCCCCAGGTCCTAATAATACTATGGATCATTATCTACTGACACAATTCTGTAGTTTAAATTTTGTTCGAAATATGTGCCATTCTAGGATCGAAATATAAACTTTAGAACTTACATTATAAGAGTTTCCAAAAAGTTAAAGATTTAATTAATATATTATCCAGACTTAATGTCAATCTGTGGAACCGTTTAGATTAAAATGAAGGCTATAAAGAAAGTCACTTATAAAGTTAGACAAAAGTGCTTGAGGTAAGAACGAGACATAATATAAAAGACGTGTTTCTATATATAAATAAGGTGACAAGAAATTCATATTTCTAAACTAAGTGTTCTTAAATGGCCAAACAATTAACAAGTGTATTATTTAGTGCATTTTTAAGCATACCATTATTACAAGTTTTTATGAAAAACTTGATTTTGAAGTGCATTATTTAAAGATTTAACAAACGGCATAGCGTTTTCTTATGGGTATACTTACATATTTTATTAGTATCCATATCCGAACTCACTTTGTATATAGCTAAGAAACAAACATATTTTCAAGCCACAATTATTTAATTTATTTAATTTTTTATTATACCTGTGATATAATATAAGAAGGCACAATACACTGAATGTTTGATATAAAAATACCAATTGCAAATAAAAATAATGAAAATTAAAAAGAGAAATAATATTAAATATAATTATAATATATCATTTCCTCAGCAGAAAACCTTTTACTAATTTATAAAGAAATATCACACCCCTAAGTGATTTACCTAAACCTTTTTTTTATTTCCTCTTGTTTTTTTTTATCATTTTGCGTATAGAATATAAAAAAATATATTTGAATCAGTTAATTCATTTTTCTAAGTGGTACCTTTTCAATGAAACAAAACCTGAATGCGTTCTTATCACATCAAGTTTTCGAGATATCCTAACCTAAAAGTGAAAGAAACGCTGTTTTTCATTCAGTTTGAGATTATGTTATATAGCGAATTATTTTTTTTTCTTAAAAACGGGTTCTACCTTTAGAAAGTGTTACTCTTACTCTTCAAAACCCTTTTTTAATTTTTCGATAGTTTTTTTTTCAGAGATATTGTTAATTTAACTTTAGTAGTTGTGTACTTTTGTTAGTCTTGTAACGAATGACATTTTTCCAAACAGTAAATAATATAAACTGTTACATTTTTTAGATGACTTAATACGAATTCCACGAAAGAATTTTACCATAACCTAAATTTTATGAGAGTAGATAAGCAATGTATGTTCTGGGACACAAAGGAGCCGACAAAGGATGCCGCCAATGTATAAGGGATATGTGTATGTTCTGGGACACAAAGAGGCTGCCCGATGAAGGTGTCGCGGTAGTGATACCTTTTAATTTAAGGTGAGACCCCATGCTGAGTGTTTAAAAGGCATTTGTTTTTCGTTTGACACCTCCCGCGTGCCAGTGGGCCCCTTCGACAGAGTGCCCCCCCCCCCCCTTATTTATTTTTTTGTTTTTCAGAGTCGCATGCTTATATGTTTTCTCAGAATGCACTCCTTGACGGTGTTTTACCTCATGCTGAGGGTTTAAGACGTAATCGTTGTACCTTTTTCTTTTGAAGTTACCTTGTATCTTAATTACGAATCGCATACTGAGCAACTAAAACTAAATTTATTACCTCTTCCATTAAAAACAATACCTTCGCTATTTTTGAATGGAGTTTCGAGAGTAGGAAACTTTTGGGGGGAATTATATAAAAATGTCTTCATTTTCAGAAAATCTTTCATTAGTAGACTAGGTCTCCAAGAGAAGACTTCTTAAAAAGTGTGTAAAGTGAAAAAAAAAGTGTATCATGAATCCAATCGAAATTATAAGAACAATAAATGCCATGATCGTATTCATGGCGAATGTAAGTAAAAAAAAGCAATCTTTATATTAATATTATAATTTAATTTATAGTATATATCTTTTTTTTAGACTCCTCCAAACCTGCTGGCGGGCATTCCGACAGCATCATTTTACCATTTACTACTAAAAATTTTATCAGTCGTAAGTAATTTTATTATATATTTATTTTTGATTATTATAATCTTATATATTTTATTTTTCAGCTTCATTCAATCATGGTCGTTCCTGCTCATAAACTGAGGATTGGCCAGCTGCTGCAGGGAGTGATCGAGGTAAGAAATTTTACTTTTTTATAATTTGCTTCATATAAATATATAAATATTTGATTGTTTTTTGGTTGCAGCAGATATTGAAGTTTTCTGAGCGCTCAGCAAGATAGCGGGCTGATGCCCAAAGAGCCGCTGTTCAAAGTCGAAAGGGCTGCAACCAAAAAAGCTGCAGCTGAAAGGGCTGTAGTCAAGAAAGCTGCAGCCGAACAGGCTGCAATCGAAAAGCCTGCAGCCGAAAAGCTTGTAGCTGAAAAGATTGCATCCGAAAAGGTGTTGGTGGAAACAGCGAGGAAAAGGAGGAATCCGTTTGCGTCGTTACCACCAAAAAAAAAATTTTTCAAGGTATAATTTTTTAATAATCATATCATTAATTATAAAATTATAATTTAAAAAATTATTATTTTTTTTTTCAGATAAACGATGTTGCTCGAGAGCCCTTATGCAGTATTGAAAATGCCCTTCTAAGGGCAAAGTCTACTACCGCTGACACCACCACCACCACTACTACCACCACCACTATCACCGATGCCATCGGTACCAATAACATCACCATCACGACCACTACTGCTACCGTCACCGCCATCAACACCACCACTACCACCGCCACCAACAAGCGGAAAACAAAGCTTAAGAAAATAGTAACCATGAATATGATGTATCCAGGAAAGGATCGAAGGCCAACACAACCTTCCAAACCATACGGTAAAAAAAAAAATTAAAAAAATCATTATGTACATAAGTAAATAAATATATAAATAATAATAATAATTAATATTATATTTAATAATTATAAAAATAAATACAAAAATAAATAAATTACATAATAAAAAGTGTCTCTCTCTCTCTCTCGCTCTCCTCCGATAGTAGGGCGCTTCGTTAATAAGCTTATGCTGGCTAAGTCTAGGCTCACGGAGAGGGGGTAGCGTCTCTAGCTACTTGCTAGGAGCGTGCGCCATATAGCCCATGGAGAGGGGGCAGCGTCTCTAGCTGCTTGCTAGGAGCGTGCATAGTATAGCCCTTGAAGAGGGGGTAACGTCTCTAGTTGCTTGCTAGGCGCATACGCTGTATAGTGAGGATGCTGCTCTCTCTCTTTCTCGCTCTCCTTCGATAGTAGGGCATGTGGGCCCTTGGAGAGAGGGTAGCATATAGCTTGATAAGCTATATGTTTCTCTCTCTCTCTCTCTCTCTCTCTCTCTCTCTCTCTCTCTCTCTCTCTCTCTCTCTCTCTCTGGTACGTACAGCGCCTCTTTTTTTCGCTCCGCTGTTTCTTTATTTTACTCATCTAGTTTTTCCTCCTCGGAGTGAAAACTCATTTTGCAGGGCGGTCGCTAACTGTGGCTCTCATGCTTGGGCAATAAATCGCAATTTTTATTGCCTTTTTCGAGCCACAGTTGTGATTAAACACCTGCTACACAACATAACCTCCAATCTACGCCTCACACAACAGCACAATCAACGCCACACACGTAAACGCAAACAACGCCTTACACCTACGCTTACAATGTTTGTCGCTGCATCTTCTACATGCCTTGACATCGAGCCTCAACCTTAATCTGGTCAACGCCGCATCCCCTGGTGTTTTCATCTTGGTCTCGTACTGCTGAAAATTGACTTTTGTTTGCGGTTGTGCGTGTTATTGCGGTTTTTCGCTGTATCTATTGCCAGTGTGTGCATGTACTAACTTCTAAGTATTTAGCGAGAGAGTTTTCATATTTAATTTTTGTGCAGTGCGTGTCAATGGTCTTTAATTAATTAGTGTAATTGGAATTTGCATTTTTCAAGGGCATTTCTTTTCAGTTCCATCATTGTATACCTCTTAGTAGCCCTGTTTTATCGACTGATGGCATTTTAGTTATCTGCGTTACCGACTGTCTAATTGCGCAACTCATCAGTTCTCTCTGTCGCCACTGACCGCGTTGTCTTATTACTGGCGCGCATTTCAAACTGCTTATTACGAAAATCTGCGTATCTCTAATTTTTATCGACGCCTTTAATTATGCGCATTTTGTAACTCATCTATTAATCGTGAGACTGACCGCTCAGTTCAGTGCACTGTTTGTTTTGAATTGTTCCACTCGCATTGTGTGAGCCCAGTTGCGTCGGCGGGCGCTATTATCTGTAGCGGTTGTCGTCCTGCGTCTAACATTATTCCTAGGAATACCCTATCACGTTCTCCGTCTTTTGCTACAACTTGTTCGCCACCCGCTACATCTAACGCGACCTCCGTTACTCCTGTTGCGTATTTCGCATCAAAAAAACGCACGGCAACATCTCCTCAATCTCCACTATTTCGCAACGTGAAGCAACTCTGCTCTACTCAGCCATCACCGCTTGTTACCCCTGTAAACATGGCGGACTCATCTGCTCCTCCACCGTGGTTCGTCAGCTTTCGTTCCTTGGCTTTGGTCAAGGCTGTGACTGCCCTTCCATCTACGCCTGTCGGGAGTGGATTTCGGCCACTCGCCAAGACACTCAAACTCAATTGCCTCCTCGCAACTCGGCAACCATCGCCACCCACTCCTCAGCACCTCAAATTAACAATGCAAATCGGACAAACATTTCCGCATTTGTATTTCAAGTTGGCAGCCCACTGCTGCGAGACAAAGTGGTCAAGTCTTCTTCAAAGTTAAAAGACAAGATCTCTCTGGATGTCTTTGGTTGCGGTGGCAGATCGCCAGTTTACATCCGTCCGCTCTGGCCCAAGCCTGTGTTTGATCTATTCTCGTTAGCCCTCTCTTTTAGCAACAGGCATAATCTTGGTCGCCCAGTAGTCCTGAATCTTCGCGTATGCATGCGGAAGAATCGTCGTGCTACGCCCATCCCAATCTTGTCTTCTGATGATTTTCCACGATTCCTCCCATCTCGTATCTCAAACTCTGGAGAAAATCGTACTTCTTCTGCTGCTCCACTTCAACATCAATCTGAAGCCTCCCTGTCTAACCCACTACAACAGACCAGTGATGAACCATCTGATACAATGTCTTCATGACAATCTGATCTCAAACCGGCTGCACGCGTACAACATCACCTTTCCATCGGTCACATTAACATTAATCGTTTAGACTCATTCACTCACTTTTCCCTACTACAAGCCAAATGTTCCTCCACGTATTTCGACATCATTGCGATAACCGAAACCTCTTTACAGCCTGATTTCCCCGATACTCATCTAGCCATCGAGGGTTTCAAATTTTTCCGCCTCGATCGTGTCGGCAAAAAAGGCGGCGGGGTTGCGATATATATGCGAAATCATTTCAGCGTCAATATTCTAGTCACTTCGGACCCACAGTATGATAACACTCCTGAATTTATCCTCTGTGAAATAAAGTATGCCAATTATAAACTGCTATTTGCCGTCCTTTACCGTCCTCTCCATGCTCACGCTCCTTTTCACTTTTTCAATTGTTTATCTGCCTATCTTCCTCACTTCCAAAACGTTTTAATCACTGGCGACTTTAATGCGGACTTATCATCTTCCTCCCTTTCTGATGCTTGTACACTCCGCACTCTGATTGTAAACAGCGGACTAAGTGTAGTCTCTCTTGAACCTACTCACCATATCATTGGCAAGTCTCCTCCCTCCCACACCACGCTTGATCTTTTTATTACCAACGACATAAGCAAGGTTGTATGGTTCTCACAATCGCATGCGCCCTTTATCGCGGGCCATGACTTCATTGAGTTACACCTTGCTTACGCTCGTACTGAACACTTCAAGAAAACCATTTGCACACGACAACTTTCCTCCATAAATACTGAAATTCTGTTAGGTACCGTGCATGAGAGTTTCAACTCCCTACCTATACTCTCTACCAACGCCAGTCCTTCCCTATCTCTATCTTTAGACTATGTTGACAATCTTCAACGCTTGATTACGAAGACCATCTCCTCGTTCTTTGACCTTGTTTCTCCTATTCACACTATTGCTTTATCATCCAAGCTTAAGCCATGGGTCTCCCCCCAAATCCGCTCCCTCATGCGTAAACGTGACTGCGCATATACCATCGCAAAATCGACGCAACATCCCACTGATGTTCATATTTATATATCGCTTCGCTCGAAAGTCTCTAACGACTTATCTGCAGCAAAAAACTCTTTCATAAAATTGAGAATTGATTCTGCTGCTGACTATAAATCTAAGTGGCGTGAAATAAATGCCCTTGGAGTCAGCAAACCCTCCCATCCCTCTCCTCTTCTTTTTTTCGATGCCGATGCCCTTAATCGGCATTATGCGTCCGTTGCCAACAAACTCCCGCCTATCACCCTGGATGAGTTTCAAGCCATCCTATCTGAACCCCCTCCTCATACTTTCAACCTTCCCATGTTTTCTCTGTGCACCTTCTCCGTCAACGAAGTTGAGAATGCGCTCATTAATAGTGTGTCTCCTGGCCAAGGACTGGATGGTATCTTGTCCAAAATGCTTAAACTTGTTGCACCTGTAATTGCTCCGTATGTTACTTCACTTTTCAACAAGTCCATCACTTCTGGTTCTTTTCCCTCCGATTGGAAACGTAGCCTCATCTGTCCCCTCTCAAAGGTATGCAACCCCCTATCTCCCTCTGATACTCGTCCGATCGCCAAAATTTGTGAATTGTGCAAGACATTTGAACGTCTTATACATGCACAACTCTCTCACCACCTTGAATCCCATAATATTTTGTCCCCTCGTCAATCTGGTTTTCGTCGTGGTCATAGCACCGAAACTGCTCTCCTTACAGTTGTTGACGATATTCGTCACGCCATTGACAAGCGCAAACTAACCATTATGGTTATGTTTGACTATTCCAAAGCGTTTGATTCCATATCACATACCATTTTGATCAGGAAGCTGCGCTCCATAAAGGCCAGTGACGCCACACTCAAGTGGTTTTTCATTCTCGCTGATAGACTTCAGGCTGTAGTGGATGCTGGCGGAAAAGTTTCGGAGTGGCTGCGCACTGCTACTGGTGTGCCGCAAGGCAGCGTCCTAGGTCTCCTTCTTTTCGCTATTTTCATTAACGACCTCCCCCGTGTCCTCCGTTATGCAAATTATATGTTGTATGCGGATGATCTTCAAATTTACGTGCACTGTTACTACAACAATCTTGCCGAAGGGATTGCCCAAGCTCAGTACGATGCGGATGAGGTTATCCAATGGGCTCTCTTAAACGGCCTATCCATTAATCCCTCTAAAACTCAAGTCATCATCTTTGGCAGTGAACTCTATATCTCGCGCATCGACTTCTTTAATCTCTCACGTATCTCCGTACTTGGTACCTCCATTCCCTACTCCAGGACTATCAAAAATCTTGGTGTCACGTTAGCCAGTACCCTCGACTGGAAGTTCCATGCCGCAACCACCGTTTGCAGAGTCTACTGTTCCCTTCACTCACTCAAGCACTACAAACGCTCTTTGCATCAGCCCCTCCGTAAACAACTTGTCGAGTCCCTTGTTTTTCCCCACTTCGAGTATTGTTCAACTCTCCTGCTGGACCTTGATAAAACTCGGATCTCTGAACTCCAAATCGCCCAAAACGCCTGTACCCGTTTCGTAGTCGGTCATATCCCCTTTATTCCGACAAACAGTATATTCTCTCATGTTACCTACCACAGGCTCCAACTAAAATGGCTTTCATTAGCAAACAAGCGACTTCTTGCTCTTGGTACTCTTGCGTATAAAGCTCTTTCCCATAAAACTCCTTCTCAGCTCCTGAATCATTTCTCAGACCCAATTTGTGTCACGTTCTCAAATAGGTCAAAACGGAACCCTCCTTCCTGTTTTAACTATGGTGCTCCCCGCACCCAGGCTTGGAATAACTCTTTTACCATCAGTGCCTCTCGCTTACTAAATCGTCTCAGTGTAACAGATTTTTCTCCCGATCGCCTAACTGAATTTAAAAATTGGTTTCGCTCACTTTTGTTCACGCTCGAAATCACTGCTTGGAGTACTCTTGCTCGTTTCGAAAATTTTGTTCCACTTGAAGCCCTCTACCACCTTCCTGCTCCCATACTACCTTTCCACGCCTCGCAATTTACTACCTCCAATCTCTACCTGGAAGTTCGTGGTCGCTATCTAGATATCTACTTGCTTCATCCCTCCCAACTCCCAGCAGTCATACTCGCAAGGCTATAATCCTTATGTGTTGTCTGTTTCATGAGGTGTTGTCATACTGTTGATCCATGACCATTGTTCGATTATTTTTCATAGGCCTTTTCGAATTACCACAGTACTCGGCTTATAATACGCTATGTTTTATTATCATCACTGTTATTATTTTTCGCCCTACTATATATTTTATTAGTTTTAAGTTACGTTTATTCTTTATTTGATCTCGTAAATTGTTAAGTTCAATTTCTCGCTGTTATTACTACTTAAACCTATACGGGATATCTTGTTCCCGTATACCTGCATATCGCCTACATACGGTTAATGGTTGCATGTTAAATTGTTTGCAACCCTTGATAAACTTTTGTATTTTTTCTTTGTAGCCAGACGGGGTACTACCCCAAGGCAAATAAATGAACTCACTCACTCACTCTCTCTAAGCAAGCGCTATAGTAGTTTCATTAGATTTCAGGAACCTTTCAACCTCACAGTTTGATATAATTTGAATATTAATTAATAAAACTTATAGAATTTTCGTTTAGTTATTAATTTATTGTTCATTCAACTATACATTGAATATAATACAGTTTGTCTATAATCTTTATTTTCAGTAGTTGACATCGCTATATTGAAATATTGAGTTGAATTTTTATATGTAATATTGACAACTTCATCAATACCTTCCATTTCAGATTGCTTCCGTCTAGCTTTTATCCATAAAAACAATCTTTGTGTATCTGTAACGGCACATACAAAGTTAGCTGGTTTATTGTAATATTATGTATATATTGTTTCTAGTGGGTAAGCTAATGCGCTCATTGGTGGACATCTCATCTCGCTTTCAAGTTCTAAAATTTTTCTAAAAAAGGAAAAAAATTTTTAATTAATAATGATTTTAATTTCTAACAATAAAAAATAAAAATTCTTACTTTTCATGTAAAATTTGTTGTAACCATTGTTTCTTTTTTAATCCTTTTACATAAATATTTCTAGAATTATGTAAATGATTGTTTAGTACACTTGCTAAATTTTTATATGGAATAAGACCGGATCTCCATAATAAACCATGATGACACGTTTCTAAGAAATGATTCACTTTTCGACACTTGAAAGGAAATTGAAACCAATGATATGGTGGTTCGAAGAAAAACACAGTTGGAACAGTATCTTCATCTAATGGTAGTTATGCGAGTTCTTTACAAACAAAAGTCTCGTTTAAACTTTGAAAGCCTTGAAAATCTATTATGAAATCCATTTTAAAAGATGCTGAAGTTAATGTGAACTCTACTGTTACGTCTCGTGCATCAACTACGAATAGCTAATGAATGAGACGTTCCAATATGTTGACTAGTGGTTGGATATGTCTCACTTATAATAAATGTATGTGGAAATGTATGTCTGATAATTGTACTACCTTGATAATCGTAGCTTTTAATTGTTTATAAAATGTAACAGGCTCTAACTGCTTGTTGAATTGTATGAGTGTAGCAGGCTCTAACTGCTTGTTGAATTGAATAGGATAGGTTGTTGAATAATACTTGCACGATATTACTTTGTAACAGTCGCGAGTTTATTAAGTAAAATGATGACCAATTGTCGGACCGGTGTGTACGGAGTTGAGTCTTACAGGTACTTATTGACTGACTGACGGACTACTGATCAACTGCCGAGAGTAATTTGTTCATTCCTTTTTATAACTTTTATAGCTCTTTTCAGGTCAGTATTGCGATATGGTGTGACATTTTGTTTTTACTGAATATAAATTTTGCGTTTGGTGACTTTATTTAGGCGTGTCATTTACCTCGTGTTTCGTCAGCTTTTTGCTGATGTGCGAGTATTTTAACAGTTTTGAATTTCATGAATGTGCATTTGTTACAAAAAAGGATGCGTCGTAAGCCGTAACACTTATTTCGGAATGTCATTCACCTTGCGTTTCGTCAGCTGACGTGCGAGTAGGTTAGCAGCTTTGAATTTCACGAATGTGCATTTGTTACAAAAAGGATGCGTCGTAAGACGTAAAACTACTAGTTCCTAAACCGTTATGTGAGAGTAGAGGCACATGTTTGTTCTATATAAAGCGTATACCTCACTATTCGAAAGTAGAAGGCGCCATAGTCACTATACCTCACCATTCGAAAGTATAGGGCGTCATAGTCACTATATAGTATGATTATAGGTAGTTTTTATTAAATTCCAACAATATATATAATTTATTTTCTTTTTTATTGAAAAGCATTGTATACATTGATTACATAATGTCTTGTTAATTTCAAACTAATTTTTTAACATCACCACTAATTGGGATATATTGTACAATACGGTCGTGTAATATTAAGCAGTAGGCTGCAGCATCTACAGGAAAATCAGTTCGAGTTTAAAATTCTAGGCGAACATCGACTGGCGCGCTTTTTAACGTTTCATTTTGTTTGGAGCAGTCTATAACTATTAGCGGCACTTTATTAATGAAATCTTTTTTATTGAGTAACAGCTCGTTTTCTTTACCATAATAAGCGTTTTGAAAATTAGTATACATATCGTAGAGAACAGCATACTGATTTTGATTGATATTCAAATTGAGATTTCCATACGGATAGCATTGTGAATTGAGGAATAGCTTCACATTACTAATATTACAATGATCAAAATTACTAGAATTAACATTCGCTGAACTTTTACGTTTAGTTTGAAAAGCTAGAATAACAAAGCGAGGCTTTTCCAATTGATTGGAAGTCTTAACACTCCAAACATGCTTTGATGTACGTGGTAATTTTGGATACTCATACATTTCCCCAGTACGATAACTCATTGTAATTGCACGTTCTCGTCCAATCTGATTGAGTAATTTGATTTTTTCTTTGTCTGCAACCATCACATATGGCATCAACCATTCAACCTTAGTTAAACTAATTATTGATTTTTCTGAAGCATCAGGATTCTTTACTGGAGTACTTAAAATAGCATTCAAATTATCTTTTGATCTTGTGAGAATAAGTTCATGCTTAACATTGACTACAATTTTCCGATAATCTTCAGCAAAGCCCAGCAACATAATGAGAAGGATAGTCACATCAAAAAAATCTAGAGCGTTACATATTAAAACTTCATTGTTATCACCATTCCATCCGGTATTTTCAGCGATAGAGCTTTGACATGGATTGCGTGAAAGCCAATTTTTCATGAGGCTCGTTAAGCCTACATTTTTCACTTTATCAATTTCAATAGCATTTATTTCATATCCTATTTCCTCGAACAAATGACAGAGGGCGTTGTTGACTAATAAAGTGTTCTCCACTGGCGTAGTACCGTCCGGGTTGGTCAACCGACCACAAATATGAATCATACTGCGCGATGAAAGCAGATATAAATCTTGAAGTTGAATTGCTATATGAATTTCATCGCTATTATTGAAATATGATAATGAATATGACTGATGCGC